GGAGGTGGAGGAGGAGGAGGTGGAGGAGGAGGACGCAGTAAGTAATGCATTGCATTGAGTACTTGTTTTCAAATTTCTGTAAACCAGATAATTCTAAGAGGATATTACGAGTGTAAGCAAGCATGTAACATAAAGCTTGATACCCAATTTTATGTTCCTCCAGGTGTTGTCGCTTACAAGTGATTTTTTTTTCTTCTTTTTTTCACTTTTGCTGTTAATTCAAGCAATTTTTTTATTTCTGTATTGGCATTTACAGAATATCAAAAATCATGCTGGCAGAATCGCATTTCAGCTGCTGATGAAAATGCTATTAAAAAGCGAAGGTGTTTTTGTTTCCCTTTCCTTTCTTCGTTTTTAGTAAAGGGAGCCAATTCAGCTGCACACAACTTTCTGGATTCCTTATGTCTTCATCATGATGTTCATGTAATGCTAATGAAATGTTGTAAATGAACATTAAGCCTTTAGCCCAGTCATATCAGGGCAAGTCATTGCCAGTTTTTTCTCAAGTGCTTTTCACTCTTTAATTTCACTAATTGGACTTCCGTGAAACATGTTACTTTTTTAGTTACCATGATTCTACTTTTTTTTTTTTTTTTTTTTTTTTTTTTTAAATAAAGGTGTTTTATATGATGGTGTTTCTTTTCTCAATATGCCATTTATTTTGTTCTTGAGTTAAAGCTTGTGTTCTAGCCCAGTGGAAAGTAAGCATCAACGTCCATGTTTAAGTCTAATTTTATTTCCAATTTTATTTTCACAATAACGAAGTCCTTGATGTTTCAATTTGAAAGAGTCCAGTGGGGGCTGAGGCTGAGTCCAAGTGTCGTTGTGGCTAAGATGACTACCTGACCGGTTTGGCCTTGGCCTCTTCACCTTACAATGTGTGTGTGACCTTTGCCCCTTGATGCTTTGGCTGACCTAACCGGAAGCCAAGATGACAGCAGCCTTTTGCCAATAGACCAGGGGTGATGGTGAGGAATGACACTAGTTATTGCTATGTTGTCCTTATGGAAAGCCTCTAGCCAGGATGTAATAGAAATACCTAAAATGGAGACATTGGGTTACACTAGCATTTCTGTACGGGCAAGTCAAGATGTTCAAGCGAAGGATTTGTGAGCCTAAATAGTAAAACATTTAATGTTTCGTGCTGCCTATCGAAAAAGTTTTGCCCTGAAAGGCCAAGAATGGTCTCGTCAGCCTTATGTGTGTCTTATCAGTTTCTCTTTTATCCAAATAGTAATGCCTTTTCTGGGAGGCAGCAAAGTGCTCTTGAGTCTGAACAGGTTGGCAATAAGCAACAGAGGGCAAATATGACTTGTATCTTCTCTTAGGTTCTAATGTTAAGTCAATGGCGCTTGTCTTTCCCTGATTTCTCTGTTGTAAGAATCTTTTTTTATGTTCCCTTCCCTTTTCTTACAAAGGTGGTTACAGCAGCAGAAGTCGCACCGGAAGGGAAAAGTATGGCCCTCCTGTTCGCACCGAGTACCGCCTCATTGTGGAGAATCTGTCTAGCCGTTGCAGTTGGCAAGACCTCAAGGTAACGGTTGATGAATTTCGGTTTCAGTAAAAAAAATTCTCTCTGCATCACTATTTATAACTGAAGGAAGTACCTTGCCATTGCCATCAGTGTTGTGCACAGAGGTAAAGTTTGGGTTCCCTTTGCAGGATTTCATGCGACAGGCAGGTGAGGTGACCTACGCAGATGCCCATAAGGAGCGTGCCAATGAGGGTGTGATTGAGTTCCGCTCTTACTCTGACCTTCGGAGAGCTGTGGAGAAACTGGATGGGACAGACATCAATGGCAGGAAGATTCATCTGGTTGAAGAAAAGCAGCGCCGTCGTCGCTCCTACTCTGGCAGCCGCTCTCGGTGAGTGTTAACTTATCACCAACAAGTGCAAAGCACCAATTTCTGGTGAAACTGGTAGTGTTGTGCCTCTAGATTGGCTTGGATTTTGATTAATATTCAAGACATTTCAAATCTTATACAGGGCTTAAAGTTCTCCGGCACCGTGCCGGATCTCCAGCGTGCAGTGTTTGGCTGCGGAAAAAAATAGTCCTACATTTAAAAAAAATAAAAAAAACAAAAAAAAATCTTGTTGATATCACTTTCGAGTTCATGAGTTCGCCTACCAATGGTATGAGAGGAGCACAGCTTTCACTCTCAACCAAACTAACATTACTAGCCAATCAGAATGTTTTGCTCTTAATAAACACGAGACGTGCATAATCAGAGTCGCAGCCCTGATGAATGGCGAAGCTGCGAGGCGCAATGGTCAAAGATGTCCATCTAGCGCATATTTACATAGAATAACTAATTAAAAAGCAGTGGAGCTTTGTAAACAGCTCAGAGTAATCATGTCATCTCCATAAAATGATATGATTGCCAGATCAAATTTACCGGGATTTTTGAAAAGGTCCTGTTCTCATGATCTATTAATGGTAACTTACCGGTAATTTACCAGTACTGTGTGAAAGGGGCTAAACTCTTCCTCTGCATATGCCGTGAATTTGAATTGCTTAACATTCATCTGGAAAAACAGTGTGCATTATCTCACTAGATTTGTAACGTAAATCATTTATAAACCTATTCCAACACCGGAAAATACATCAACCTATGTCTAAATATGCCATGTATTGTACATCGTGATTTCAAAATAAAAGTTTCGGAGTTTGCATGTGGACAAATATAAAAATTTAATGGAACGTTTAATCACGCGGTAAAGTGAAACATCACCAGGCTGTTGGTGCCCTCTGCATGTTTTTGGTTTAATACATAATGTACTTAAGTTGGTTGTTCATTATGTATTGGCATATTACATTATGTATTTTAACAGTGTTCAATACAATTGTAATTTCTTGGTTTTGATGTTTGATTTGAGCCAATTATTATTGCCTCATCGTAAGTTTATATATAAATAGTCATACTAAAGCCTGGTTTTCACTTGTCTGTTCACCTGGTCTGTTTGTTACTAAAAAATATCAGATTACTTCAATTGTCAAAATAATCAGTAGATTACTTGATTACCAAAATAATCACTAGTTACAGCCTAGATTAGTTCAAATATTTCTAAATACAACTGCATTGTTTTACTTTTTGTAATTAAAAGACAAATATTTTGTCATTGAAAATTTCTTAAAAATAGTATTAAAATATTGTCATGTTCTAGTGAACCAAGTATCTGTATTTTGTCTTATCTTGTGAGCTAGGTGTATTGTCACACCCCTAGTGTCGATAAGCAGTGATATAGCTCAGAATTTTCCAAGTGTATGATACAGCTTTCATTCTTCAGGTCAACCATATATTCATGAAAAAAAAAATCAGTTTGATTAAAGAAAGCAATAACTTTGCCATCGTATCCTTTCAAATATTAAAGTTGCCACAGTCATTGTCATTGCTAACCACAAGGTTCTATCCTGGGTCATATTTAATTGCTGATTATGAAGTTAAAAGGCTGTTTTCAAACCCTCCCATCTTTGTTTGGACAAACAGTCCAATGCCAAACTGAATGCTCAAGGGCGCTGCTTTGATCAGAGCCTCAGTATTTATGTTTGCATATTAGGCTGGGATAGGAGTAGGTATGTTTAACAAAAAAGGTAATTAAAAAAAAAAAAATTCTGCCCCCCCCCCCAGTTCTCGTAGCCGGCGTCATTCTCGTAGTAGGAGTCGCCGTAGCAGCCGTTCTCGGAGCAACTCAAGATCTCGTTCAAGGTATTAAAACAAAATTGATTGAATGTAAATGACTGTTTGTATCCCTTCTTTCAGCTGCTGTTTGTCTTCTATAGGTCTCGCTCTCGCCGGCACCGCTCCCGTTCCAGGTCGGGACACAAGTCTCGCTCCAAGTCTCCATCGAGCAAGTCTCGCTCGCGCAACCGTAAATCTCGTTCTCGCTCCCGCACACACAAATCTCGCAGTCGATCAACCAGTCGCAAGTCTCGCTCTCGCTCGGATGAGCGCAAGTCCCGCTCTAAGAGCACTTCTAAAGTGAAGTCGGATCGTGGACGCTCCAAGGAGAAATCGGTCGGCAGGAAATCCAGAAGTAGATCTGCTTCACCGATGGAGAATGGCGACGGGGGTCGTGCCAAGTCTGCTTCTCGCTCTCCGTCACCTCAGGCTGAGAAGAGCCAGCACAAGTCTCCAGACAGGCATTCACACTCTCGCTCAAAGTCTGGCTCGCGCTCTAAATCCCGCTCCCGTTCCAGGTCTGCGTCCCAAGATTAGTATTAAGTGTGGTCTGATTTTTGTTTTTTCCCCCACCTTCTTACGAGTCCAGTTGTCCAGGATAGTTTTCTAGTGGTCATGATGAGATCCAGGTCTAAGGCATTTAATTTGTTTTATTTTACTCTTCTATAGTAAAAGTGAATCACCCACCGCTTCAATATTTTATATTCATAACAATAGCATGAAAATAAGTGATTTAATTTAGTGTGCTGCATGTCAGTCCTTTTTATAAACCTTGATCCTCTGTGGTGTGTGGCTGGAAGAGGCTTCTTGGCAAGGAAACGAAAAGCCGCTGCATCTTGTGGCTTGTAAAACTATTATCTGAAAAATCTAGGCTTTGGTTTCTTCATGTAATAGTTCATTGAAAACTCTCTGATTTTGTTTTATTAAAATCCAGTCTATATATTTTATTGTTGTGTGTTCTTTTTTTAATGCCTTTTTCACCAAAAATCATTGATTTGTAAAGGGTTATACTTTTTTCTTTCTTGGCAGATAAAAGTGGTTCTCAAGGCCTATTCACACCAACAGCTATAATAGTGCTTTATTTTACGGTCCTGTTCCACGTGCACATACAGTGCATGCATAATTATGCAAGTTGATATTCTGATATTTTTTTTCCCCAAGCACATTTTACCAAGTTCAATATATATCACTTAGAAATGATTAAATACAAAACCAATAGTAGTTATTAAAATTAGTGTGGTTTGGAATTGGTAATGTGCTTGGAAAAAAATGATCAGAATATCACCTTGCATAATAATAATGCACTCACTGTACTATGTACAGTATTGTGATTACAATAACTGGTAATAAGGTACTAACTCTAAGCCTAACCGTAACCCATGTAGTTACCTTACATTACTTTCTTAGCTAAGCACATCGGCTAAAAACACATCTCTTCCATCTTTATTAATTTTTCTTTTTATTTATTATACAATTAACAAAAGCAAAAAAAAAAGACTAACACTAGCTTGCACTATTCTTTTTCTATTCTATCAGTTTTCTTTTTATTATATAATTTAAGAAATAAAAACCCTTGCTACGTGTACTGCGTTAAGCTGAGACTTTTTATAGCACTTGCATATCATTGCTCTTTTGTTGTTTTGATTGCTTCTATTGTCTTCATTTGTAAGTCGCTTTGGAAAAAAGCATCTGCTAAATGACTAAAAGTAAATGTACATCGTAAGTACACGCACTGTAAAATAAAGTGCAACCACTATAATAGCTGGGTTACACTTTATTTTAAGGTGTCCATACATTTAAGTACTGAGTAATATTAATTAACTACATGTACTTACAGTACTATATGGTTAGGGTTTGGCTTAGGGTTACTTGCATGTAATTATGCATAAGTGTTGCTGTTAATGCACTTATGCATTGAGTGTTGATGACAGAACATTATCGTGCAGCATTGATGCTAATGTTATTGCTCTTGTTGTGAACAGGCCTTCAAGTGTTGGAATTTAGTCTTCTATCGTTGGCAGAACTGGTGTGCATTGCTTATAAGAGACATAAGATAAATTGATTCCTATATGAATTCTTTTCCCCCTCTAGCACTGGCTGCAGAGCATTTTTCATGATGAAAGGTTCAGGATCTCATGGCTTTCCATTGCCAGAGGAACGGCTGGTTTGATTACAGTTCAGCTCTGGACATCAGGGCAGAACATGGCAGCTAGTGACTCTCTTCCCAGCGGCTCATGGATGCAGGCCGATCTGAGAGCAGGGAAGAGCAGAAGGAACCAAACTAAGGAAGGATGTTTTTGCATTAGAAATAGTTCAGCTGATCTGGTACTACCACTAAAGGTAACTCAAGATGTTTTATGAAGAACATCGATGAGATTTAACTAGCCATTAATGATAGACATTGATCTAAGCCACCCAGTCCAGTCATGTGACATTAAAGATTGTATTAGATGCATTAATGCAGGGGTTTTCTAACCTGTCCTGGACGACCCCAACCCTGTACACAAAATGTACCTCACGAAACTGATTTAGGACAGGCATCTGAAGCAGCAGAATGATTTCATAAAACAGAGACTGAGTGGGTCAGACTGAAAGCAGATTTCACACTGTCCTGCACAGGCAATCATCCATTGTCCTGCAAATCAGTCCCAACTGAGCCTGGTTTCTCCCAAGGTTTCTTTCTTTCTCCATTTCTGTCACCGATGGAGGTTTGGTTCGCTCAGTTGGGGACGCTTGACTGATTACACAGACACTGTTGGAGGAGAGCTGAACTGGTGATGGCATCACTGAATCATCAATGAATTGACTTTAGCTGGAAAATGACTCTTTTTCTCTTGCATTATTGATGAACTATTTTCCTGTTGACACTGTAAAGCTGCTTTGACAAAATCTGTATTGTAGAAAGCGCTAGGCTATACAAACAATGAATTGACATGATCTGCAATCAGAAAGTCCTGCTTTTTTGTGTCCCACGTGAGCATTTGGTGGTATTACCTTCGATCAGGATGTAAAGAATTGGCTCAACTATCTAAATCCATTACCTGTTACGTCTGTTTTCTGCTCCAGAATCAAGCTACTCTTAACCAGTGGCTTCTAGGATCAGATTCCCTCTGCCAAATCTAAAGCAGAGGTCTGCTCCTGGAGATCCTGTCCTGTTCCAACCTGCACCATGATAGTCATTTTCATCTTTACAGGGTTATGAAGATATTTTTGGATAGAAACAATGGATTTCTTTGGAACTGTTCACATACCGGGCACATAGTCATCTGTGAATTAAGAAATAAAATAAATATACAAAGAAAAACCTAAACTTTCAGCAGCTTTCATAGACACTGAGTTGTGTTATTTTGTGATTTGAGAGATTTAACAGCTCAATTTTAAAATGGTGAGCATGAATTATGAATCGCAAGTGAATTTAGGCCTACTGTATGTTTTAATACACGCTGCTGTATATTATTCTGTTTAATATAAACATGACACACCGTTGAAAAATCAAGAGTTCTCGTTTATTTGTATTCTGGGCTGTTAAATGTATAACACTGCACATGCTAGTTTACCTAAATACGCGTCTCTTGCTGTGTGTGTGATGAGCAGCAAAGATAGGCATAGCATGTATGTTATTAAAGTAAGTCCTGGCTGGCTAATTACTTCAAATATATATGCACGTATATATTAAATGGGAAACATGTTTTTGGCAGCACAGTCGCTAGTTTTTTAGCAGGGTTGAGAGCAGCACGTCTTCTAAACGGCGACAGTCACGTGATACACCGCGTCGGTACACCTCAAGGCAGTGTATGCAGACCGCTGTTATTTAATATAATGATTAATGGCGTTTTTGAAGAAATTGATCACAGTATAGGAAAATCATTATATGCTGATGACGGGGCGCGGGGCCCTCTGGATAAGGGGAAGGCAATAGCACAAGAGAGTTGGGAACAATAAATCTTAACTTGAATAGCAGTGAATGGGAGAGCACCACAAATACTCCACGATAGTGTTTTCATGACTTTCAATAAAAGGAAAAAAAATTGAGACACTGATAACGGCTGTCAGAAGAGAGAACGATGTCAAGTTTAACCAGTAAAACATATAATAATAGAATGTCATGCATATGAAAATAAGAGAATAGTATTAAAATAAGTATTTGGAAAATATAAAACTTAAATTTACTTTGGAAAATATATTTGGAACAGCACTAAGGAAAACATATGTACAGTTAATCTGAAATAGAACGTCTACTAGAACGAATATGAAGATCATAGAATAGGTATTTCTTTCTTTCTTTTCTTCCTCCTGTTATCTTTCTCGGCCGGACTTTTGTTCCACACTCCAGTCCAGCAGGTGGCGGTAAAGCATATATTAGCTGGACTGCCAACCGCCAAAAACACTGAAGAAGAAGGCAGCACACTTGTTTTTGTCGCTTGTTTTATTTCTTATATATCAGTCTTATATATAGCAGTTGATCAATGCTTTTAAAATTGTGGTATCATCTTTAGAGAATCTGCATCGAGAGATTTGACAGAAAATCTGACTGATTTACATCCACACATCTGCTTGTGGGAGGTTAGTAGATTTATCTTTGTTTATTATAGTTCTAGTAAACGGTTTAAAGGATATTACTATAACCAAAACCACCAGGGTAACCACACCAACATGCCGTAGTTATTGTGCCTACTGTAAATAATGCATTAATATGATATATACCTCTTAAGAAGCTTTCACAATCTGTTATTTTATGTAATTTCGTGATTTATTCTTGCATAGACTGTGGTGTGAATAACCAAATTCCCATAGTTTTACTGTAGTAACAGTAGTATCTTGTTGTATTGTAGTTTTCAGAGCACATAAATAAATAGTATTTGGTACTTAATTAAATGTGTCTTTTAAATGTATTTTAGGCTCTGGAAGTGAATAGTCATGACTGCTGGTGAGTATAATGCTTTATACTAGAATAGAAATTGTCCTTAGGTTCTCTCGGGGTTTTAAAAATGCTGAATTTTGATTTATGGTCTGTGATGGACATCACTTTACTGTTCTACAGCACGGTCATAAATATCTCAGGTGATCCACACGCAGTGTTAATGGCTCCACAAAGCTTGTGCTTCACTCACTGTTTTACAGAGAGAGTGTTTGTGTTTGTTGATGAAGAGGAGCTTTTCAGCGTGACGAAGGATCTGGACTGTCTCTACTGTAGGATTCCAGTCACTGCATCTAAACAGCACCTCAGAAAGAAACATCTCAGATTCGCTATATATTATAAAGACTCTGGCCTCGGTAATTGACCAGTAACCGTTTCTACAACACACACAAATAGCATTTACACCCGTTCTCAACTTGAATGTTGTCTGTTCTTGACAGGGAAGTTTTCTATCCCCTGTTATTGTTCTGATGGAGGCCAAGGCAGGAGCCACTGGCATTGCCCAATGTGCTCAAAAATATTGCACAGGACACAGAATTACAAAATCCATATTACCAACCACGGTTTGTGTCTATCACAATACATTTCTTATTGAATGGTCTTAGAAGGAAAATGGAATTTCAAATCTGTATCAGGCTGCATAGTAATCATAGTCATGGTTGTGCACTGTTTACATACACACTACACTACCAATATACACATGCTTATTTATTATTATTAGCATTGTCTATATTGTAGAATATAAACAAACCATGTTTATTTAGAGCTCATCCAAGGTGGTTCTTGTTAATTAATATCCTTCGATTCTGATCTGTTTCACACGACTGCAGGTGTTGAGATGACAGACAAATCCTCAGGTGAGCAATGGCATTTAATCATTTTTCAATAGCACTAGGTGAGTTGAGTGAATCGTTAAATCCCTCAATAGCACTCATCCATTGATCAAATGATTGGCTGTGTGCAACACCACAGCAGCTTGACAGACTGTTTTGTGTGACGGTGCCTCCTAAAGATGCAGACACAT